CTTATAGTTAGAGGGAAAGTCCCACTCTGGAATGGGTATAAATTATAAGTGAGATAGTAAAACACTGGACTTTTATTGCCTTATGAAGATCCTGGATAGGGATGAGTGGCTTTTTACTTAAACAGTGGAATATTCTCAAAATTTCTCATGATTGACATAAAAAGTAGTCATGAGTACAGCAAATTTTTGAGATGTATGGTTATAAATCATACATATTTTTGTTTTAAAATAAACTTTTTTTCTCTTTAGAGAAGTTTAGGTTTACAAAAAAAAAAAAAAATGAGTGTGTGGCTGGGTCCAGTGGCTCATGCCTGTAATTCTGGCACTTTGGAAGGCCAAGGTGGGTGCATCACTTGAGGTCAGGAGTTCAAGACAAGCTTGGCCAACATGGTGAAACCCTGTCTCTACTAAAAATAAAAATAAAAAAAATAGCTGGGCATAGTGGTATGTGCCTGTAATCCCAGCTACTCGGGAGGCTGAGGCTGGAGAATTGCTTGAACTCAGGAGGCAGAGGCTGCAGTGAGCTGAGATCACACCAATGCACTCCAGCCTGGGTGACAGAGTAAGACTCTGTCTCAAAATTTTAAAAATGGGTATAAAGTACAAAAAGTTCCCCTATACAGTCTTCACTTAACGTCATCTGAATTCTTAGATGGAAACTGTAACTTTAAGCAAGACACCTTATTTTCTACAGTAGGCGAATTGAATAGTGTAAAACCACAGTTGCTAACAAGAAGATCAATACAAAGCAGGAAACCACTTGAAGAAAAAAAATTAAAAAGTATGGCAGTGACTCCTTACATACAGCACCAAAAGGAGGAGCCATTAAAAAAATGAGAAGTTGGACTTGATTAAAATGTATAACTTCTATTCTGCAAGGACACTGTCAAGACACTAAAGATACGAGCGAAAGGCTGGGAGACAGTATGTTCAAAACATCCAAAATACACTCTTAAAATTCAACAATAAGAAAACAACCTAATTTTTTTTTAATGGGCAAACTATCTGTGGTGCTTCTCAAACTAGCTGTGATGAAGGACTGGTTTTCTTGGTATTTGTTTTAATTTGCATCTGTCAAGGACTGATGCCTTGGTAAATTAAGAAAAATGATTCATAAAATAAAATGTTAAAAATGATACAAACCTAAAAGCATTTTTCTTAATTATTAGATTGAACAGACTTAAAATTCTTCTGTAAAATTGGACTAAAACTTTCTAAATGTTTACTCTCAGGCTTTGTATTTATCTCTTTGAGGCTTGTACCAATCAGGCCTGTACTTTGAGTAACACTGATCTTTTTAACTATTGTCAAGTCCCCATTTCTCTGACCAAAGCTCTGTCTGGAAGAAGGAACGATCTTGCCATATATAATTGAGGGCATGAGGTAAAGTTCAGAATACCAGAATATCATGGGCTATCTCTATTTGAAAGCTTAGAGGCAGTCAGCTTGCACACTGGGTTTCCTTGGCACTTACCACAGATTCTTTCCTCCTAGTTGCTATTTGGACCAAAAAAAAAGTAGTATGAGTTTTTTTCTCTCTTTCAGCCCTCTTACTCGATATGCATATCATTATATCCCATCTCCAATGCTGTAATTGCTGAGACAGAAGATTAAAACGCTGTTAAGTTTTAGTCAAAGTAAGAATTTAATGATTTTTTTGAGTCCTAAGATGTTAAGGTTATGTAGATAATGAGTTGTTTTGAAATGTTGATTTGTTGACATCACTGTATCACATAAGTCAATTATTTCTGTTTCTAATTACTTAATTACTCTCAAGCAAATCCTTTGTGCTCTAAATCCCTCACAGTGTTACCAATGCCCAGGGAATGAGAAAACCAGGCTGTCATTATTAGTGGATATTTTCCTTGTTTCTTCTCCTTTTCTTATAACAAAATATAAGGAAAGGATGTGGACAGCTGAGAGTAAAGTTATTTTCTATTCAAGTGTATGCCAAACTTAACAGGTGGCAAAACTGACTCAGAACTCGGGTAGGAACTGACTAGAAGGGGTGTAAAAAAATTTCATCTTCCTCCACCAGGCTCAGTTTCCATAAGGAGAGTGGCCCAGACCCTCCTCTTCTCCATTAAACCCTTTCATCAGGTGATCTCAACTTGCTCATGCTTTGATGTCCTCTTCACAATTGTGACTTTCAAATGTGCAAGTCCTGCCTGGACCTCTCCCTGAGCACCAAAAACACATACTTCACTGTCTATTTAACATATCCATAACAAAACTATTGACCTTCTCAACTCCCCCAAACCTTCCCTATCTGAGGAAATGACATTACTGTCCACTAAATAATCAGACAAAAAACAGAAACCAAAAAAAGGAAAACAAAACTTCTAAGCTTCATTGTTGATTCCCATCTTCCTCACACATCGTGTTCAACCCATTAGTAAATTCTGTTGATTCTGCTGTCAAAAATACAACTTGTTTCTAACCACGTTCCATCAACCCCACAGTCCCAACCCTAGGCCAAGCCACTGTCATCTCTCCTGACAAGTACTGCAATGGCTTCTGTAACTGACAGTCTCACCAGATAATATCCAACAAGGTAAAAGATAATTTTGCAAAAGAAAATCAAAGTCCTATCACCAAAAGAGGTAAGTGTCTGAAGGCAACAAATGACCTCTGAATTGATTTTTTCCTATTTTTAATTTTTTTCTTTTACCATTTTTGTAGGTAATATTTAAATTTTTACTTTGGAACATCTGGCATTCCTATACTATGCAATATTACAAACTTTTTAGCCATAATTGTTCAAAAGTTGAAAATGGAAAGAGAATAAAAATGTAAGCTACGTGTGTATAAAAATCCTCAATCTGATGATGAAAAACTGTGCTGAATATTTTTATCATGTTAGGAACTAGAAGGGCTTTCTAAGCAAGGACATACATCCAGAAACTCTTAAACAAATGCAAATTACAATAGTAAAAATAATTGCACCTGGTATAAAAGAGAATGAAAATTCCTATTATGTAAGAGTCTTTGCTGATTATATAGAAAAAGAACCCAAAAGAAAAATTAATTATTGAAGAAACAATTATTTTCTTTTAAAGTATATGAATTTCTTTAAAAGTAAATACATAAAAATTTGGGATAAAAATGAAGCTTTATTTATGTATCAGATTGGCAAAATTAAAATGATTTATAATACCAGTATTGGCAGAATGTGGAGAAATTGGCAATTGCCCAGATGATTAGTAGTAACACAAATTGAGACTTAGAGTAATTTGGCAACATCTATTAAAATGTAAAGAACATATACATTTTGATAACAACTCCACCATCCTGTATAAATATTTCCACAAAAGCTCAAACATTATATAATCATTACAAATAATGACTTCTAGAAACTGACATAGGAAAGTATCTAAAATGTATTGTAAAGTGGAAAATATAAGGCGTAATACAAAGTATATTTTCTCACTACTTTTATTAACATATTCATGCATATTAGCATAAGCTCTAAAAAACTCTCTAAGAATATATAAGGGACTCTTAACCATGGTTTCTGTTCTTAGAGGTGATGTCAGAAGAAGCATTTTCCTAGAGCATTAAATTATCCAAATACCAGAAACAAGGAACATGAGTCTGCACTGGGACAAATGAAGCTATCTTCTGTACACTGAAATGCAGTATTATCAAAATAAAATAATTTTTCATGATATAGAGAAAGATCAGCCTATTCTCAGAATGCTAGGAGAAAAAGCCTACCTTGCCCTTTCACCTTCCTGTTCCTCAAATCCCACATTCTCACACTAATGATCTCCACTGATCCAAACTGTCCTAGTCACCTTGTCTGTTTCTACCTGCATGTAAAGCAGGAATAGAACCAACAGCCTTCTTTTATCACCTCTCTTTAAAGACCTACCTAGAGGTACATCTTAAATGGTTTGACTGATCCTGCAAATAGAGAAGGTGAAACCTACATAGAATCACATACCACTGAAGTTCAAGTGCCCTGAGTCCTCATCTTGGGCTCTAAAGCAAAAGCACAGCCATTGGAAAAAGCAACCTGGAAGAGTGCACATTCCAGGAACATCTCTGAAAACTGACATGGGAAGAAAGGCAAATACTCCTAGAGTACTCATCCCCAGGCATTCTAGAAGTCTCCATAGATATTTGTATGCAGTGCAAAGGAGTCATTTCCCCCCAAACTATTGAGAAACAACCTATATTACACACACATAGATATCTATACATTAATATATATGTATGCAAATATATATACATACATATATCAATTGTCATCCAACAAAACACATCTGCTTGCTTTTCAAACGCCATGAAGACCAGAGCAGTATGAAATAGGATCCAGAAATAAGCGAAAAACAGATTAAATTCAAAGTGAATGATATTATTTGAACTTCTCTGTTTCTACTTCTGCATTTCAAATTAGATAAAGTGACACGTCTAGGTTTTGTCATTATTGTGTGTGCTGTTTTGTCCTTACAAAAATGACAGAGCAACTGCATACTCTCCATTAACTCAGTATTTACAAAAATCTCAAGAGACATGTACCATTATTTCACTTTCCAAATGAGCTACAGTGAGGTAAACTGAGGCAGAGAAGCACCCAGAATTATTGTTCATACCATGCACTGGCATTTTCTTGAAATAGTTCTCTTTTCATTGATGAAATGCAAGAATATCCCCCTCCAGAAATGCTCTATGAATTCTAGGCCATAAAATTCTAGGCAAGGCACACTATGTGTCTGTGATGCATAATGCATACCACCAACCTAGGGCTTATTACAACTTACGCTGGAGCAGCAAATGGAATTCAGTCCCAGAGCTTTCATATGTATGCGTATGGGTGGGAAAAAGACAGAAGAAGCCTTTGTTATTACATGCAGTCCCAAAGGAAGCCAGTGCCCCGCAGCAAGTTTTGACTGTTTGCACTGGAAATCATGGAGGGGTACTCCCTTCGCCATCTGGGTCGCGCGCGGGCCCCAGGGCCCTGGGCGCATGCGTGGCCAGGCGGCCGGGGCGCTTACCTGGTGCGCCCGCCGAGCAGGCACAGGGCCAGGAGCAGCAGGGCCGCGGCGAAGGCCAGGCCCCAGACGCCGAACTGCTCCAGCGAGAAGCGGCCTATGGCCGCTGACAGTTCTGCCATTCGGCGCGCGCTAGGCCGCGGTGGGCAACCCGGGGTCTCCCTGAGAGCGGCGCGGTCGGGGACTCCGCAGCCTGCGGCGGCTTTTCTCCGCAGCGCCCCCTAGTCAAGGGACTGAGAGGCTGGCCTGCCCGCGGCGCAGAGGGAATGTCACCGTGGTCTCCCGGACTGAGTGACAAAAGTTCGTGGACTCCCCTCTCCCCGCCTATCCTCCACCCACGCGCACCGCCCCGTTCCCCACGGCTTCCGACCCGGCAGCTTTTGGAAAACAGCGCCCTTGATCCTTCCGGGCAGGAAGAAAGGCCAAGGAAGGGGGAAGAAGGGGAAAGAGGATTTCCCGAGAACCAGCCCTGAAGGCCTAGAGGAGGGGATTTTGATTCTCAGGTGGACCGGAGCCCGTAGGGTTCCTCACCCTTTCGCCCGCGCGCTGCTGGAGGAGCGACTCTGCTTGGCCCTCAAAGATGCTGGAGACGGTGCCCGCTGCTCTCTGACACCTGCGATATCTTAGGTACGACCCAGCGGGGTTGCGTTGGCGACAGAAACCCGCCGAGTGCGCCACCTCCAACCCGTTTCGCGCCCACCTCCTTCACCCCTTTACATCCTATTTGCTCACACGTTTTGCTTCAGGCCTACTCTGTGCAGAGGCGCGTGCCAGAGACGCGGAATACAAGGACCTAGGCTGTGAGCCTTCAGAAGTCCCGATGAGGCACATAGTGCAGGAAGAGGGTGACACAAGTAAAAAGACATTGCACAACAGCGTGGTAGGGGCCGAAAGAGATGTGGTTCAAGTACTACAGGTGGTCCTCAGAAAGAGTAAGGGAGAACTTTTTAAATACCTTTTTCTGAGTAATGACCATCCACTGGATACTTTACACACGTTTTTACTTTCCATTTTTTTAAGTAGTATTTTATAGAAAACATGAGACTCAGATTAAGTAACTTGTCCTGCTTGCTCACTTGATAAGTGTTTACATTTCCAACTGTAAATAACTATGTAAATAGTTAGACCATTCTAACCAAGGCCTGTTCCAGGACTTGGTGTTCTGTCAATGCAACACTTCTCTGGAATGGGTCCCACAGCTTCAAAACTGAACTCTGGTATTTGACCCCTCCAGTCCATCATCCCCATTTCTACCTCCCTAAAACACACATCTTTCCAGCTTTTACTCAGTTTAAGATGGTTACTCTTAATAGTTGCCTTTGTGATAAAGCAATATCCTCCACCTGCAGTGAGAAGCCCTCCTCAATTTGTCTTCTTTGTACAGCTCCCCTCCAGCACAGGTTCATACATACTCAAGCTTGAGCCACCATGTCCTTCATACTCAGCCTGTTCACGTTATTAACTTAAAAATCCATTGTAATTTTGATTTGTGTTTCTCTGATGATCAATGTTTTTTTCATATTCTTGTTGGCCACATGTATTTTGGAAATCAGTGTGGTGATTCCTCAAAGACAGAACTACCATAGGATCCAGCAATCCCATTACTGGGTATATACCCAAAGGAATATAAATCACTCTGTCATCAAGACACGTGCACACTTATATTCATTGCAGCACCATTCACAATAGCAAAAACATGGAATCATACTAAATGCCCATCAGTGGTAGACTGGATAAAGAAAATGTGGTATACATACACCATAGAATACTATGCAGCCATAAAAAATATTTGGTTTTCTGTTGCTAAGGATAATGGCCTCCAGCTCCCTCCTTGAACATGGAAGCCTGTTGGTGTTTATGAGCCTCTTTTCCTTGAACATGGAAGGATGGAGCTGGAGGCCATTATCCTTAGCAACAGAAAACCGAATACGACATGTTCTCACTTACAAGTGGGAGCTAAATGCTGAGAACACATGGACAGATAGAGGGGAACAACAGACACCAGGGCCTGCTGGAGGGTAGAGGTGGGGAGGAGAGAGAGGATCAGGAAAAATGACTAATGAGTACTGGCTTAATACCTGGGCAGTATGGCCATCCAGCCAAGACCAGAGACAAGCCCTTCAAAGGGGGAGGGTTTGAGTAGGAGCTTCATGCTGAAGAGGTTGGTTAAACATATATATATATTCAACTAGTTATAGGAATATATATATATGTTTAACCAACCTCTTCAGCATGAAGGAGGAGCTATGAATATTCATGAAGGTGGTGCTGACACATGCCTATTGAGCAAATATGCATGTAGCATATGATCTATTTTCACTTTGGGGTGGCTACTTAACATTTCAGTGTGTTACAGTTATGCTCTATACATCAAAAGATCATTTTACATACATAAGTGTATAATCTCTGTAGCCTGGCAGAACCAGTCAATGGTCAGCGGTCTTCTTAATCAGGAGAAAGTTACTGAAACCAGACTCTTGTCCAATCAAAGCTGTAGTTATAGCTTGTGGAATAGCGGGGGCAGTTAGCATCTGATGGTAGATGAGCTGTGACTCTTTTAATATTGCAAATCCTGAGGCCAGTGCTTTCTTAGCTGCTAGAGTGAAAAACCTTGTGGTGGTTAGAACATACTATATTTTTTAAGTGTTACTGTCCATAGTTCTAAAGCTGTGAATGGCTGGAGTAGCCCCAGAATCTTGGTGTTTACGAGGCTCTTTGTCTTCCACTTCTATTCCAGGTTCTTTCTCCTGCCTCTCCTTTCTCATGTTATACCTTCAATTTTCCAGGAAGTCCAAAAGATTATAGTAAACTGACAGCCACTCTGTCTCTTCCAAAAGAAAGCAAATTGAGTGGTTTCCATCACTGCTGGGACAGCAGAGCCGGTTTACAGGATGGTGTCCATGCTGGGGCATTTCTGTAACCACTGCAGAGAGCTACTCACTGATTTTCACCAGAAGTCTCAACCTTCATACTTTTGTTTTCTCTTAGATGACTTTTGTTTAAAAGTATAATCAAAATACTAAAATTCACTTTATGTGTTGAACATTTGTTATTTGCCAGGCACCATACTTAACATACTATTTTATCACATTAATAACAGCAAAAACCCATGGTTGATTGCCCTGCCTTCGAGAAGTGGAAGAAAGCAGCCTGCATAGTTATCTACCAGATTCGGTTAGCAACTGTGTCATTCTCCTATGTTATCGGTACAGTAGCTTACTTGGTACACTTTATTATATATATGCAATACGTTTTAAGTATATATTCCTTTTGGGTTTTCCACTTTTGTTAAAAGGGACCTCCATTCTATAAACCAACCTGATTAAAACAATATAAAGATGTCTTTTATTCTTCTTTTACTTTTGTGGCTCATTATTAGCATCATTATATTTAATCCAGTTCAATTCAGTTTTATCTCCAAAATGTACTGTTATCCCCATCACCTCTCTGACAGAGATCACTGGTTGACCCTCCATATCTATTCACCCCTTCCTCCTCACTAACAGAGTCCTCCATTTTTAACTGAGCACATGCCTGTCCATCATAAAGACTACTTCTAGTTAGCTGTGTGTGGTGTTATACACCCGTAGTCCCAGCTACGTATGACTAATTGGGAGGCTGAGGCAGGAGGATCACTTTGAGCCCACCTAGGAGTTAGATGCTGCCATGAGCTATCATCACAGTATACTACTGTACAATCCAGCCTGAGCAATAAAGCAAGAAATCCTGTCTCTCTTGAAAGAAAGAAAAGGAAGGAAAGAAAAGGAAGGAAGGAAGGAAGGAAGGAAGGAAGGAAGGAAGGAAGGAGGGAGGGAGGGAGGGAGGGAGGGAGGGAGGGAGGGAGGGAGGGAGGGAGGGAGGGAAGGAACAGAGGGAGGGAGGAAAGGAGGGAGGAAGAGCGGGAGGGAGGGAAGAAAAAGGGAAGGAGGGGAGGAAGAGGGTGACAGAAAGAAAGAGTAGAGGAAGTAAAGAAAGGGAGAGAGTGACAGATCATACTTCAGTGACTCACTCCACTAGCCAAGTGACCGTCATCTACCAGGCGGCTGAAGCGATCAGCCTCTTTCTCTGTTCTTGTTCTAATGTAGCATTAGGACTTGAACTCTGGCTTTGGTTTCCCCCATGCCTTTTTTTATTCTCAGGAGCCTCTGTGGAAGTCAACAAAACCTGAATAATGACTATTTCCTCTTGCATTTCAACATGTATATCCTCATTGTCCTGCCCAGATTTTGAAACTACTAATACACTGGACTGAAACATTTAAGTCTACCTCCTTAGTCAGTGACTTTTGTTAAGTGCAAATGATATTCATGGCACTACACTTGGCCTATTGGACCTAATAAAATGAATTAGATGTCACTTTTTTCAAAAAGCTGGGATGAAGGGGACTAAACACATTAATATTGGATAAAAGAAAGTAAGAAGTCCACTCAAAGAAGATCGTAGAGTGGCCATGGGGGAATTTAAGGATATGCACCCATATGGTCTCAATCTTGTGAGCTCCTGGGGAGCAAATTATGTGCTGGAAGGAGGGTAGGTTAGAGGCTTCAGCTGTTAGGAAACATGTGAAAGTACCACTGTGAAAAATACCCAAATGGAATTCCACATTCTTTTTCCAGTAACAGGAAGTCTGTAAAGTCAGAGTTGAGTGTCCAACACTGAAAGGTCCTATTAACTTTTGACATAAAATGCAGCTTAGGTTCAGGTTTTGAATCATATCAAAGCACGACTCCTCTATTACTAAAATGATTGACTGCTGTTTATCTCTTTCCTTCCCATAAGTTTTATGATAACTAACTTTTATTTCCCATTACCTTCAGTTAGAATTAAGACCACCCCTGGGCAAAATTATGAAGAAGTGGAAGGAAAGAAAAGAAGGAAGAAGAAAGAAATGTAGGCTCCATGTTTTACATACATTGTTTCATCTAATCCTCCAAACCAATCTCTGATGTAGATATTATTATTCCTCTTTACATAAAAGAAAACCAAGACTCAAAAGAATTCCAGGACACCTGTGCTTATTCAGCTCTTAGGCCGAACTGTGGAGTCACCATTTTCCCCTACCACCTTGCCCTCTTAAGAGTTTTCTTTCCCTAACCCTTTACTCACCTGCTCATTCTTGCTTCCATCTTCATGGATCCAGTTGTTACCTTAAGTTGTCCATAGCTGCTCCCTATGGAGGCAATTGAGGCTCTGCCATGACCTTGGCTCTCCATGGCCCTTGTGTAGCTCTGAGGCTGGTGTCAAGTTTTCCATCTGAAAAATATAAGACTACCTTCCCTATAGATTTATGAGAATTAAATTGTTAGGAGTAAAAAGAAAATATATATACATATATATATATATATATATATATATATATAAATGTGTGTGTATATGTATATATATGTATATGTATGTATATGTATATATATGTGTGTATGTATATGTATATATGTATATATATACACACACATATACATACACACATATATGTATATATATATATACACATATACATACACACATATATATATATATATATAAATGAAAATGCCTGGGGCTTCTTTTTTTTCACAGTTGAGCACCTTCTGCTCCACTGGCAAAGGGTATAAGCAGAAACAAGTTGATCAGACAAATTCAGCCCAGCTGAAGTGTTAGCTTATTGATCTATTACTTCCACCCAATTAAAATATAAAATAGGCTGCTTTCTTCTTTCCTTAAGGCGACTCTTCAGACTGACTGCAGCTGAGATTGCAATAATCACATACACTGAGACTGCTGTAAGCCTGAAAGTTATTGTTTAATTTGGCACAT